CTCACTCACTCAGCGATCAGCAAATCGCTGATTGTGACTCATAGAAAGCAAAATTTACAAGTTTTATGTTTCCAACGCATACTTTGTAACCTCTTCTTGTAAGTTACAAGTAAAACATGTCATCATACCATCTTTTGGTTTTATTATTCCGAAAAACATTATTTTAGCTGAAATGAGTCTTTGCAACCTTGCCGAACAATGAGGTATCCGCTTTCTTTTATTCGTTAATAAAATAAAATTCCGCAGTGAAAACAACGATAAGAGAAATTTAATAAAACATAACCCCACCTAGTGCGTTTTTTTATTGTGCATTTCTCACCCAACTAAACTAGTTTTTCGGTAGCTTTCCAAATGGCGGAAATGGTCGTAAAAATGCGCTTTTGCATTGCATCGGCTTTAGGTGTTCGGCTCACTTTTTACTTGCCTCGTAAGGAATACGCTAAAGTGACAAGACGTCCCGGATTCGCCTTCCTGTCCCGCATTACCAATTGTCCTGCAAAACGTCCCACATTATCAAGTGTCCCGGAAATTGCCTAGCGTTCGAAATGTTGCTTTTGGTTTTTCGTTAGTGTATTTTTGGTTGTTTTCGATTCCATCATTTCTACGGGCTTCTTCAACGTAGTCCTAAATCCTGGTTTCGGTTTATTTAGAACTATAAAAAAAACCACAACACCGGTGTTGTAAATTTTGTTTTATGCTAGATATATTGTGCATTATTTTGAACCTGGTATATGCTGGAAAATCCTTTGAAGTACTTGAAGGTACTATGACGTTTTGAGAACTTCTCTAAAATGCTGGGATATTCTTGTGAGATTTTTCGTATTCTCTACAATTCTGGGAGCTTCTTTTGATTTTTAGCAGCTTTGGAGAAGCTTGGTGTTCTTTTATTAAGTATTTGGACTAATTGAACTAGAACTTCAATCCGAAAAAACAAAATTGATGTGCAAGGAAACTATCTGAAGTTCTGGGAAATAATTTAAAGTTCTATGAACTTTTCCTGAATTCTCACATTTTCTAAAGGAGCATTCCTCTAGCGTAGAATTTTTTAATAATTCAAGACCCGCTACCCCTTCGTCCTTAAAATGAATAAACTTCTCTGAAGCTCAAAGAGTTTTTTGAACTTCTGACATATTCTGCCAAGCTCCTCAAACTTCCTTGATGTTCTGCGACATTTGATGAAAAACTATAACCCTCTCTTTAGTTAGTTTGGTCTTGAAATATTTTGTTCTTTGGAATTCTTTGAGATTCAGGGAACTTTTTTATATGCTTTGAACATTATTGAAATTATAAAAAATTTCCAAAGGATTAAAAAAAAAGTTTAGACTTCTTCGAAATGCTGGCAGATTCTAAAACTTGTTTAATTTTTTTAGAAGCTGGGAGAAATTCTCTCAATATATAAAGTTGTCTGAAATTCTTAAACTTTCTCTGATGTGGTTCTAGGATCTTCTATGAAACTTTTAAGCTTCTTTAAAATTCTGTAAAATTCATTAGTTTTTAGGACTTCTCTGAAATTTGAGGAAAATCTTTAAAATTTTCAAAATTTACCTGAAGTTCTTTAAAACTTTCTGAAAACTTATGATCTTCTCTTAAGTCTTTGAGTTAAGATAACATGCTGGAGGATTCTCAATAAACCCTTCAAATTGCTCTTAACTTTTGAGATTTTTTTTAAACTATATATTGTTGGAATAAACTGACGCAAGGTTCTTAAATAATTTTGAAGTTCTCCCAATGATCTTCTCTGAACTTCATTAATATCTATGGAACTTCTTGAAGTGATGAGTACTTCTATAAAGTTCTGAGGGCTTCCCTCTAAAATTGTCGTGTACTGCATGTTTCGTTGAAGTGAATTACTGAAGTCTAAGAAATAAGAACATTTATAAAGCTATTAAATAATTTTAATAAATAAATTTCACATAATGAAGGATTATTCATCTTCTCAGTGAGAAAAATATAAGTGAGTTTATATAGTAATATAATTGGTTAAGTATAACTAAACTGTTTTGTTTTTTTGAGAAAAACTAATTGTTGCACCAAAATAAAATATCTTTAGAATACGGGGATGTTGTTGTACGGTAGCGACACCTACTTGAGTTAAGAGAAGAATCAGAAATATGTAAAAAAAGTTAGTTGCACGAAAAGACCTGTTTTCGTTTCAATAGTTTGAGTCCATATTAATAGTTTTTATGTGTTTTTTAGGTGAAGTGGCTATGTTCAACCTTTTTCATGTATAAAATCAATGATTCCATGGAGCATTGTTGAATAACGAGGCGATTTGTGAATCGATGATTTTTGTGTGTTTAATTGTGTGTCCAAACTTCAATTTTTAGAAAATTATACAAAAACAAGGATATGGCTGAAATGGTGTCGAGTCAGTACGCAAAAAGCAAGCGTCGCAAAAACGAGCAGCTGACAGCATGGAGGAAATAGTCAACAAGAAGAAAGCAACTGTTATAACTAACTACTTCGGAAAGAAGTAGTACTAATTTCCCTATTTTGGATCCTCTATTAGCTGTCACTAGATTCATGTACTATTCATTGTTGATTTTAAACTGTTTATTAATAAGGTGAACGTTAACCTGATACTTTAACTAGTCAAATATATTGGTTCCATGCATCTGCATTCAAAGTTGAAGTCATCATTACGTTTTTGTGGACCACTCAGTGTTCGCTGAAGGCATGTTTACGTTCTGATGATGGATGATAACAAACTTTTACTGGAAAACAAGGAGAAATTCATACTAATCAAAGAATCTAATCTCGGCACAGAAGCACAAGATAAGGTTGAATCACATTAAATTCAACCCAGAAATAGACATTCATTTTACATTTTTTTTTTTGCAAAAAATGTTAATTAAAACAAGTGGTTCACTATGGGATGCTGAAAGCTTTAGGGTTTTAATTTGGAACATCTGACTATATGTTAGATTTTGCTGTGCTTCCGTAATTGGTAATTTTCCGTTTGATTTAATCAATATTTTTCATAAAATAGATACTGAAGAGTTGTGAAAGGAAATGGATTTTACCGGATAATCGCTCCAGTTTCTGACCAATTACAATAATACCAATAGTGCACTAAACGCGGTCAAATTTAATAAGAGGCGTAATGCATTAGGAGATGCCATTAGATAACGAATAGTATTGAGAACTCAAAACTGACAAAAACTCATATGGGACTGATGTGCAGCCCTGTCTGTAAGAAAACTGACAACATATAAGTGCTTGTATACAATACCAACCAAGGGTCACAGTCTCGCCATTCAACGCTCAAAGCTTGAGGGTATTTGTTCAAATGAAATACTATATGGATGCGCATGAAAGCTAGTAGAATTGCCAGTCTTCTTGGTACGTTGTGTTCCATCGAACAGCTGAAATTTAGATGTGTTTTCCTGCAGATGAAGACGGATTATATAGGTTGTTGTATTATAAAACACGCAAAAAACCATACAATAGCGATTGTTTTTATTAACGATAATTATAATGAATTTTCATAGCATAATATTTAAAATGCAACACACATTTTGGGCAACAATTATGAATTGGAACAGGTTTACTGAAAAAAGGATTTATCTTGAAAATTGAACAAAATGAAAGAGTAGCCAGCAGCATGCTAGTGTAAAAATCAATCACTCATGTCTGTTTACAACAGATACCGATCATACAAGAACAAATACTACTAATATTGACAAAATGCTTAAAATCTTCTTATACATTTTTAAATTGGAGCTCAATAAGTTCTACTTGGGTCTCCTTTTTTGGTCACTTTTTGTGCCTTAAAAGTCACTTAATGGTCACTTTTTTACTGATTTTAGTCACTTAATGGTCCCTTTTTTACTCATTTTAGTCACTAAAATCACTATTTTTGGATATATTTGGTGCTATCAGCCCTGCGTTTGGTTGTTCCGCCTATTTCAATTGTTGGTCTAGATATGATCGCCTACTGTGTGGAAAATTGCCGCGTGTTATCATGAACGATGAAACATTTGTCAAATTTTACTACAAGATGCTTCCGGGAGATCAATATTACACAGTCCGTGATGGTCAGGTAAGAAAGCCATGGATTGGCAAGCGATATGTGAGTTTGGCAAGTTGTCCATTTATGACGAAGGAGACGATGAACACTGCACGACTCGAAAGACACGGGAGCTTGGTACAAAACAAACAAAGTCCAATACATGCCAAAAGAGATGAATCCTCCGGAGGCCCGGTCAATCGAACCTTGTTGGGCCCTTTCCAAGGGATATCTACGGAAACACTTCAAGGCAACGAATTCAATTAGAGAATTTGAAAAAGACTGAACAAAAGTAGCCAAAGTCATCACCAAGGAATCTGTGCTGAAGCTGATAGGCAGCGGCAGATCAAAATTTCGCTCTTTGGCATACGATTAAAGGAACTGCGGATTATTATCATGCAATTGAAAAAGACCATATATATGAATTAAAAATTTGAGTTCCTTAACATAACGTTGTTTTATTCCAATAATAAACTGTGCTTATACTTTCTGGGACACCCTATAGCATGCACATTAATCCAGGTCACCGGTATCACGTTCCTCGTTTCGAGCAGCAAAGCACGAATCACTCAGTGGAGGAAAAAATCCTAACGACTTTGTCCTTGAATTTCGTGTATCTTCGGTGCCATAATTAGGCTCCCAGCATTTCTCTTTTGCATCAACCCACGCACGTAGGTTGCCGTTTTTTGTTGCTTCAAAGAGAATTAAGATAAATCGAGGAACATCTCTTAAATTACGCCATCGAATGGTTATATATCTACTGGCACATCCTCGGAGAAAAAGAATACCCCTACCCCCTATAGATAAGGATTCCAAAAATGTGAAGGTGAATCATGCAGCGCTTTAGATACGCTCGCACAATTACAGGGAAAATATGCTTTAATTTAGTTTTCGAGATTGTCAACGACCTCTGCCCTGCAGTACTAAGAATACTAATATTCCTAAACCGTGTGCTAATCTCGTTTCGCATTCTCTCTTTTCCTCTTTGCAGATGTTGTTGTTTCTTTAAACGAAAGAAGAAGAAATCGACCCGCCAGAAATGACTAGAAGCAGTGCAATGTAGTCCGGAACGTGAGGCAGTCAAGCTGCTACGTGCAACGTCACACTCCAACTCGCGCGACAGCGTGCTGAATCCAAGCCAGGATTACATCCAGGCGTCGTCGCAGCATACGATCAGATATCCATCCACCTCTGTACTGGCATCGACACCGACCGCCCAAACGCCGACACTTCCATTGTAATTTATTGCTAACTATTATTATGCTAATCCAGATTATTAATTAATTAATTATTAAATTATTTATTATAATTTTTTTCCGCGCGGTGTTACGTCCCAACATCATACTACACACAAACCGCAATCGCAAAAAAAAATTACAACAAAAAAATGGTAACACCTTCCATTTACGATTCATGGTCGTCCTTGAAAATACGCTATTTTGTCGCGTAACCGGTTCTGCCCAAAAACCGCACACACACTTAATCAAAAAAAAAAAACGCCAAATCGGGTCGCCGTGCGTTGAACAAATCAATCCAAACGCGTTGTCGACACGCTCGTCCGAAATCGGAACAACCCGTCGTGAACCGTTCTCCATGTGTGTGTGTGTGTGCGTGTCCGTATGTGTCCCACATATGTCGAAACCGATCATCTTAAAAAAACCATCCCAAACGAAAATTGATTACGACGAGTAGTGACTTTGATGATGACATCGATTTCGACCCCGATGACCTTACGATCCTGTTACACTTTTTCCGTAAGCTTTGATATCGACTTCCGGTTCCCCGGAAGGGATCCTGCAGACGACCACCACTAGTACTACCACTATCGGCCTCACTGTCTATCCGACCCTCAGTAGTTCTAGTACATCATCATATCAGCGCATTCTACTACTACCAATTATTCTTCCACTGCTACTACAACAAAGTACAACACAACAAAACAACTGATCACCAGCAACCTTCCCTTTGTACCACACCTTCTATTACTACTTTCCTCTAGTACTACCACACGACATACGATGTTTTTAAACAAAAATAAATCAATCCCCTCCCAGTATTGGCAGCTTCTTTCATCTCCCTCTATCTATCGCTCAAAAAAATAGACTAGCCACAAAACGATCTAGGAACAATAGAATCGAACATTGTAATCTACAACAACAACAACAACAACATTCCGTTTTTCCCCCACGCGTGGCACCCCTGCAAGTGCCGATTGAAGCGGGTTTGACCAAGCCTTCTTCGATTCCACCGAACAGAGTGCCTCTCTTCTACCACTACTTAGCTCTAGGATAGATAGAACAAACTAACCAGTCACGCCGCCTACTACTCTTCTCTGCTACCTATTCAAACAAAATTCCCAACAATTCGGAACCGGTCGTAGCAGGATTCAGACAGTCTCTCCCATTCAGACCCATCATTCGGTGACAGAAACCAGCAAACAAACAAATCCCGATCGCGACAAAATTTTATCTCGGATCTAGTCCTTTTTGCTTTCGGCGTCTACGGAACTCGTTCCTGACTCAGTGTCGCACGAAATACCTTCAATCAGTATTGAAGTCATCTGTTCGTTTTTTTTTTGTTTGTTAAAATTTCGAAATTAAATAAAAATGCATTACAACGGGCAAGAATCCAATCCAGGGCAGTGACGCAAACAATGGGGCTTCTAGTACTGCGCTCGTACTGCACTAGAATTGAGAAGGTGAAACTTCCCTTGAAACATCCTCATTCGTAGCCAGCCATGCATTTATCGAGAAGCTTGTGCAACGTACTAGTATTGTTTTCTAGTACTACTACTGCTATTGCAACAGATGTGGTATTCTAGTACTACCACCCCTCCCCCCTCGTAAAATACAGTAATATCAGAAAGTATCGAAAGCAACCCGCGTTGCTTCGTTCGAACACTCTTCTCTTTTTTTTTTGTTTGTCGTGTGTACGACGTGAACCGACTAAGAGGAAACCAATCAGTCATTTTTTTCGATTTGTAAGGAAACCAAGCTAGTTTACAAAATCATAATGAAAATGAGAATCGCGAGAGAAAAGAGAAAAGAACACCATTCAGCACGCGTCAGAAAAGAAAAATCACACTTGTATAGGCAGCATATTGTTCTCTTTGAATCATTACCTTTTTTTCCTGTTTGTTAGGACTACTAACTGTTAGATAGCGTTTCTTGAGTTGTCTTTTTTTACGAACGTGTACTATTTTTTTATTTTAACTGAAGAAGAATGCTTTTCAGCAACAAGCAAAGAACGGAGGAGAAGTGGATGCTTAGGAAAATATTGCTATTTTTTCAGTGCGTTCAACTTCCAATATATTTTTGTTTTGTTTTGTTTCTTGAGTACCTACCGAACAGAGTAAACAAGGAAGGAGAGAACGATAGGATGAGAGCAACAGTGGCTCTGTTTTTTTCTTTTCTTTTTCGTTTAATCTAATTGTGATATAAATAGTTTCTTTTGTATAGTGTATATTTTTTACTGCGTATCGAGTAAGTGTATTTAAGTCAGCTGAAAGAAAACTATTAGGCTAGCAAGCGAGAGAAAGAAAGGGAAATTGAAAATAAGTGAAAGATGATGAGAAAAAAAAACGTTGCGTTTAGGAAGCAGTTATCTAATGAGCAAACAAAACAAATTGTGAAATTGCTAAATAATAAAAAAAAAATGAAACGACTGTAGTAGCTAAATATTAATTATTATCGCTTTTTGCACACTGTTTCTGTTTGATTAATTTCACATCCTTTGGTTTTTTTGGTTTTGAATTTCTTCTGTTCTTCTTCTCCTCAATGATGTTAGTGTTTTTTTTTACCGTTAAGTTCTAAAATTATTGATTTTTTTTTTTGTAACGTCACGTGTTTATTTATATTTCTTTCTAGCGATAGTGAGGCAGCTAATTTATGTTCCTTTTTTTATCGACTGCAATTTCGTTGTTTTAGTGTTTCTTCATTACTGGTCATAACGGGGTGAAGAAAACCACTTCAAAAGTTGCAACACTGTGACGTTACCCGAGCAAAGCTGAAGATCAAATTGAAATCAAAATTTGCTGTTATGATGTAACTTATTTTGAATACTCCAGTTGATCTCATTTTGGTTGACTTAACGGTTAACACAGCAAAAATGAGAGCAAAATTTTACACTGTTGAAGCAAACGGAAAACTAATCCTGCTTTCAATGAAATCAATTTGATTACTGATTTTGCATTCATAATGTTTAACTGAATACGGGCCTAGAGTAAATGGTTACCATTCATGTTTCTCAAGCTGAAAGACTTAGGCTCCAATCTCACCGCAGGTCACGAATGACCTAAAATGTGTTAAGCAAATCAGATAAACGATAATCATTAGTTCAACGACAGATGAATTTCAATTAAATTTTAAACAAGACGTAAACAGCAGAACTTCAAGTTAAGTTGCTTTCATTTAAAACGTCTTGACCGCATAATGAAAGCACAATATGATATCAGACTTATGTCTCAACATTTGAAATCAAAATGAGTTTTCATTATGATAGGAACTGCACACTTTAATATCGATTTGCTTTCATTTTGTTAACCGACTTTGCTCGGGTATCCTTCAAGATTTATTCACTTATTTATTTGTCTTTCCCCCTTATTCTGCGAGTCACGTGACTCTCTGTTACCGGTGAGGTGACTCTCCGTGAAAATGAAATGAAGTGTCACCTCACACGAGGTGACTATTGTCACCTCACCGGTGAGAGAGAGTCACGTGAGTCGCAGAATAGGGGAGTTTGATTAAAAATTTGTCGAGCAGACTTGAACCTAATTACTGCTTCTTTTTCTAATTTCGGAAGTTTCCTGGCCTATGTCAAAACCGTACACTGTGCGGCAGAACGGTCCCATTCGCATTTTTGGCGAAATTTAGCTATACCAAGGGGTTAGTCACTCAGCACATTGTGCCGTAATTATATTCGGCACAGCTTGGGCACATCCATCGGCACACCTTCGGAACAATCTCGTAGGCATTGGATTGTTGTAAAAAAAACTGCTGGACAATTGTCATTGAAATTGTTCACAACATTACGTGCTGTTTGACTGTATACCCGAGCAAAATCTGAGATCAAATTGAAATCTAAATTTGATGTTGTGATTTCGCTGATAATGATTACTCAGGTTGCTGTCGTTTTGGTCATTTTAACGGTGAAAATATCAAAATTGAGAGCAAAAAAAATCTTCCTGTGACATCACATTGAAAACTATTTCTGCTATCAGTGAGAGCAAACTGAAAACTTAATTTGATATCAATTTTTCCCGTTGAGAAAAAACAAGTATTCAATTTGATGTTATGCTAAGGCAATGAAAACAAACCCACAACAATATATTTTTGAAGAGCAAATGAAATCAAAATTTGGTATCAAATTTGTCAATTTCGTAAACTGAAATCTAATTATGATTTCAGTTTGATGTTGATATCAAAACTTGATTCCAATTTGCTGTCATTTTGATGCTGGGCTTTGCTTGGGTATTCAGGAACATCCTTTAATTGAATATACCAGAGGAACTCAGACCAGCAGTTCACTTCTCGGTTCACTTAAAAATCTAAATATGAAATGTAGGTTCTAGAGTGGGCTCAAGAGAACGAGGTAGTTAATCAGACTCCATTAGTATCCTTAATTCAAATAATGCTGCAACTCACACAAAACAAATTACAGAAGACTATAGATACTATAGATTCCATAGATAAGTGGAGGCACAAAAAATTGTTTTGGCAACCATGAAAAATAAATGATATTACTGGCATCCTTGAAAAAAGTTCATGCCATCATAGAGCTCTTCGTTGTGCAGTCTTTCCTTTTCCGTTGTCCGCGAACTTTCCCCTTCCCGATAAAGTTTTTGGTGGGCGAGAAAAGGGCTTACAAAAGTTTGTTTCCAAACAGCTTGTATGCCCTTTTCACATGTGGCTCTTGAATTTCTTCTCACTCGGTAGTGACAGCCGATAAATCCGTTTCCTTATCGGCATTTTTTCTTCGGTGATTATGATTTTTCACCCTTCCCGAGAACTCAATTTTAAGCAAGGGGGACGAAAGTAATCTGTTCTACATTTTTGTTAACGAATTTCAATAAAATTTGCTTAATTTTCTCGAATTTGTTTTGGTTAAATTCGATTCGTTAGCTTTTGTGATTGTTTCAAACCCTTCAAGCTTCAAGTTCCAACTCTGGAAGCAACGAAAATATCTGCACGGAGGGTTGGTGGCTTGACGATCAAACGTAACATATTTATTTTGTTAATATAAGTCTAAAAATTACCTTTGCATTTCGGGACTTGAACCGGCAGTCGCTGCTTCATAGGCGTCAACCATACCTACTGGACCATTTAGGCATATGTGTGGTAAAAGGTATGATCATTAACTTGAAGCACGTCAAATTTAAGTTAAATAACAGCACCCGGAAGAGTATTATACAGCAATGCAGAATTGTAAGCAACAATTGGTGACAGTTAAATATTCCTCTAATTTTCAAGTGCACTTAACACAATGTGGACACAAGCACGCGATTTATTTTGATGGTCATTTGGATGCTATTTTAGAGCCATAATTGAGTAATATTTTTGGAATACGGTCTGAAAATTCAGTACAATATAATGTGGTGAACAGTCAAAACACAGAAGTACAAACTTTAATACTTCCGACGTCCTCGCAGACCACTTCTACTTGGAGCTATTCCTAAAAATATCCTTTTTCTTGACTCTAATGCTGCCACTGCCTGTAATTAGAAAGGTAGGCAGTGAATTTAGTAGAACTAAAATGCCGGACATGGAACGAGTGACACAGACACTGACGACATTTAACAAATTAAGCTATCAAAATATATGTAACGCAGTGCTGATTTGTGGAGTTGTGTTAAGCTTAAATAAGGCTTGTTCAATCTTTGGATCAGCTTACCTATTGAGGTTGGATTATGGGGATACAATTCGCTTCATGCACTACTAAACAACTATATATTCAGCCTGATGTTAATCAAAGCACAAAAGCTGTACACCTTAAATCAACCAATAATCAGCTTCTGTTCTTAATGTTTAGCTTGTAGTGTTACTTGGGTAGTTAGCAACAAGTTGAAGCAGTTCCATAAAAATGCATATGATTTGAAGCGGTCTTCCAACAAGGGTTAGAAAAGACTGTTATTTAATGCCTTAAAAAGCTAATAATGTATATTACTGTTAAGCTTTTGGCTGATTAAGATCACCAGATTTAGATGTTTAAAAGCTGAACAAAGGTTATCGTGGTCTATGTACAGCAATTATTCAATCTAAGGCTAAATTGAAATTGATTAATCAACACTTGTTAAGCATCAAGCTGTTACCTGGGATGCTATTAATGCGAAGTACAGTTAGACCACTGAGATTGGCACTTAGACATGTTTAGTGTAAGCTAGCAAGCATTCTGTTGATTAGTCTTACTGCATTGAGAACATGCTTATTAGGGTGGTTTAAAATATCGGCTTTGCTTCACTAAGCTCAATCGATTTCTTATCAGGTCCAGATAATTCTCCCAAAATTTGAGCTTATTGGGTTGTGATCTCATTCTGCACTGGCCATCTAAAATTTATAAAGGTATTACTATGGGAAAAGTCATTATTTGGTTCACCTCGTCTTTTAATTTTGCCATAATGATCTACCAATAAATTAGCCTTGTGTACTCATAGCAAATTTTCTCAGCAACATTTTTTTCTAAAGACCATTTTTTAATTGAACGTTGAGGAAATTAGTTATTAGTTGATTTCTAATCTGCTAACTTTCTGATTTGATCACTCGACTGCATTAGGTAGAGAGCAGCAATGTAACCCAGTAGCTCACCCGGTAGCTTGAATTTCCACACAACCTAGAATGAAAATATTAAATTTGCTGGTCACTGGTGCCATAAACCTACTGTACCTTTTTTCATGGATCTCAAACTGCAAAAAAATCTATTAAACATCGATTCTAAAAAAATAGTTTACTTGATCATTTTTATTCAGCAGGTGTATTCACTTGGGAATCTATCACTTCGCAAGTTGAAAGTATTTTGAGATTGTCTGTTAATTTCAAGTCTTGCAATACTTGTGGATGGAAAATTTAGATCGTTCTCAATCTGTCACTATATCAAAAGCTCAAGGTACATGGTACTTTGATTAATTTTGTGTTCATTTCCAGCCAACTGGTAATAATTTTTTGTTTTCTTTTTTTTCTGCCTATATTTTTTACAGTTTTAATGGGCATTGAATAACCTGTTTAAATTTTTTATCATCCTAAATTGCACACTAAAAAGATGTTTTTGTCAGATCCTTGGTCAGCAAATAAAGCGTTTTGAAGTTCAGCAGTGCAGCAGTCCCGCATACCTTATGGTTTTACATAGGGAGGGTCTAGACCCTTTCTAGTTTTACATTGTTTTACAAGGATTCCCAGTCATGGGAGAGGACAGTAATAGCACAGTGAAAAAGTTCACCCCCACCTATATTCCCAACCATCCCCCCCCCCCTGCATATAATTATTGCAGCTTACAGGAACGATATTACGAACACTAGTGATGAGAGGAGCCATGCATTAACTGTATTTCGCGAAACTGAGGATACATTAGGCGCTCCTCCTTCCGCAACCCCCCCCCATCCTGAGGAACGGTGTCGCGTTGACACTTGTGCTGAATCATTCATTTTTTTTGCCAGAAACCAATGCACCAATCAATCAGTTGCACAAAACTGTTCACATCATCCTGATAACGGTTACTTTAAACAACAGGCGCCAGTAGACAGCCAGCTACCAGACTTATCAGGCTTTAAAGATTGTATTGATTTACTCGGGATAGCTTTCTGTCTATAATCTTTCCCTTGTGAAATGTGCAGTGCAATTTTCAAGAACGAATGTGGTGTAAAGAGATAGAGAAAAAAAATGATCTGATATTTTTCGTATCCTCACGTTGGTGATTCGAGTTAAAAAAGTTCGTGATATCTCATTCTCTCATCCCAGAAAGTTCGCTCAGGAAATATTGGAGGGTGAAACTAGTGAGGGAAAGCGAAAATGATATTTTGGTGAGAATTCCATCACTGGACGCATTTGACCACAAAAATTTGGCTGCTGGGTACATTATCAAAGAGTTTTGGGGGCGAGGGGGACTTTTCTATCTACGCTGCAGGAAAGATTGTGTTGTGCTGTGGCTAGCTGCTCGCACTCTGAGTAGATAGAAAGAAGATTGATGACGATTCTGAAGATTCCCTGCAAAAAGATTATGCGCGCTGCAAGTAGATGCGAGAAATGCAAGAAGATTTTTCGAAGATTGATCGCTAGTGTGAGATTTTTTGAGCATCTAAAATTGAGATTTAGATGAGTCGCCCCCCTCGTTTGGGGGTGATGTGGCTGGCAGCAAGGCGAGGGAACGTTCAATGAAAATCAACTTTTAAACAACAATAATGTATGCTGGTCCTGAAAAGAACCGTTTTGTCGTGATGGTTGAGTAATGCTGAGCTATAAGGTTGTTTAATACGGATATGGATGGCGAGCTGCATGTTGTTTGAAACGAGGGTGACGCGCTTAACATAGATGGCTCACGACGAGCAACTGAATCAGATCAGTAGCGGTGCGACTTCTTCCTCCTTCGTCTGTATACTGGAGAACAATGTTCAACGCCACGCGCCGAAAGCATTGCTGCTGTTGCTGCTGATCAGTGTTCGGAAAATCATTCTAAAATTTCATTCATTGAGCCTCCCTGCGAGAATAAACTCGCGTGCGAATGTGGCAAACAAAATTCACGCTTGAGATTCTCATGCATATTCACGCACTCACACTCACAACGCCGAAAAATCATCCCAGCTTTAAACTCACAAAAACTACTCAAACGTCAATTGATATCATGCCTATTCATGTTGTGTTAGTTTTCCAACCCCTGATGCACAAACAATATTAATAGCAATGAATAACGCCAAAATATAAAGCAATGAATTATTGCATCTGAAAACTCATCGGTGATTTTTGCGACGTTGAATTTTGCAAGGTAAAACTCATAGGCGCATAAGCTCATGCATGAGATTTGAGTTTTTGAGTTTTTCCGAACACTGCGCTGATGATGACGACCGATCGGTACCACCACACACGGTGGTTGAATAAGCACCGTTCGGCGAGACCCGTTTGGAATTCGATTTTGAAATCTGTGTTAGGGAAAGCGCTTTTTGCAGGCAATCGGTGATAATTTTAACAGTTGGAAATTTGAGTAATTTTCAAAAGTGACCTGTTGAAAATTGATAAAGTGTTTCATTTACACACTTAAAATTTTTCGCCGAGATTCCAACAGCCAAGCAGTTTTGCAATTTATTTTGCTGACATTCAGTAAAACAATTGCCGAGACTCAGCTAACAAATATTTTGCAGATATATCAGCAAAAGTAAATGCCGAGGTAATCGGCTGTTGGAGACTTTACCGAGATTAAGCGTGTAGTAGATTCGTAGAAAAATTTCCAATCGATTGGCTTGTTAACAATTAAGAGTTATAAGTGGTCAAAACCTGACCACTTTTCGTAACGCGGTCGATTTTGGTTTTATGAAATTGTACCCCCAATATGTTACCGAAAGACGTCAGCCTACGTCAAAATGCGTATGTGTTTTAACTACCTTGAAAATTCACTCATTTTCAACAGGATGTTATTGTTTCCCTTCACAGATGTTATTTCAGAATTCTTCTAAAACAATTTTGAGATTCTCCCAGGGAGTCACTTCACAATTTCTATATAACAGTCCAGAAATTATCCGAGGGGGACGACTCTATCTACGATGCAAAAAAGATTGTGTTTTGCTGTGGCTAGCTGCGCGCACGCTGAGTAGATAGAAAGAAGATTGATGACGATTCTGAAGATTTCCTGCAAAAAATTGATGAGCGATGCAAGTAGATGCGACAAATGAAAGAAGATTGTTCGAAGATTGATTCGCTAGTGTGAGATTTGTTGACCATCTAAACTTGAGATTTAGATGTGTCGCCCCCCTCGAAATTATCTGCATATCAATCCAAATAAATCATGAAATTCATTCTTAGCTTTTCTTCGAATTTTAAAGCTGTTTTCTTTTTTTCTTGTTTTCTATATACAAAGCACATGAATTCCAAAAAAAAAATCACATCTAATTGCATTAAAATTTTGTTCAGAATACTGTTGGAGTTATCCTCTGAATTCTTCTCGAATTTTGCTTGCAAATATCCTTAAAATTCTCTAGAAATTCTCTTCGTTATGCCCTTGGAATTATCTTCGAAATTCCCTTAAAATTATTCGCAGGATTCCTTTGGAATTGTACCCTCAACATTTAACTCCGTTGATATTTTTCAGGGATTCTGGAATCCTCTAACTAACTTACGTGGGCGAACTAAGAGTTTCGACGAATTGACTTTTGATTATTATTTTTTTACAAAAACAGATAGTGCCAATTGAACATTCACTATTAAATAGTTCTTCAAAGTGACTGTATGCTGAAAATCTAGTCTAGTCCAAGAATCTTGATTTTTTTTTAAAGGTCTGAATTATAATTTTTTTTCGGAAAAAATCTGATGAATTTCCCACATTTTTCAGATTTTCCCGATTTTTCAGTTTACTGATCACCCTGAGTTATGAATGAACTTTGACAGCAGGCAGAAACCTAACGAGCAACATCAATATCATAAAATTCTGTAAAGCCAACTGGCTCCTGTCATTGCGTAAAGGTCAAACATTGTTTGACGAAATAGTGTCAAGTTATAACATGGTCATTTATGAATGAAGTTCTATTTTAATTACAACATTTTATTCAGATTGATTATAAGATTTGTTTGGTATGAATAATGATTAACTATTGAAAAATGATCAAAGTGTTAAGCCACAATCAACCAAACGGTACCACTCAATATCATTTTTTGTCTTTCCTTATATTCATTCTCCTATATCTGCAAAATACAGAAAAAGGAGGGGCATAGAATGCTAATATATCTCGTCTCTCTGTGTTCTCTCGATAATCATAGCGAGCGAGCACGTGATTGGTTGAATACGGCTAAACTCTTTGATCAATTTTCAATCATGGTTACTCGCTGCGGGGTGAGCTGTAAAACTGCGCTTTTGAGGAGCATTCACACAAGACCGGACGTGCGCTCACACGAATACACATTGGATTCCGGTCGGAGCACGTTCCGGTTGTTTTTCATTGGTGTGAGATGGATGTATTGAGCTGCTAAGAATGCTGCGATGTCCACGCTGCAACGAACAAGTCCGAGGTCGAACCGTCCAGCGTGCAACGTTGAATGATTGTGCGGCTTCGGCTTGTGTCGTTAGGGATCAACTTTCTGATGGCTGTGTTAGGGGTGAGCACCTTGCGGTCGAAGAAAATGTATGGGAAATTTGAATATTTCCATATTTCTTAATTGTTAACTATTTAAATATTTAACTATTATAATGTGTGACATACCACACAACATTTATAACACTGGTGAATCGATCAATATACAAATCATCAAAATCCATTGATTATTGGCCAAGTTATCAGCATTTAAAGTCTGACCAATTTTCGTTGCATTTCCCCTTCCCGAAAGACGTAGTCCTACGTCAAAAGGACTGCGACAACTTTCCATCACCAATTACTCGTGCTTCCGAATCACTTGAACGTCGACCATCAGATCGGGGGTGAGTCAAGGGGGTGGTCACTCCACACACTTATTTTGCGCCAACTTTGTTCTCAGTGTGCCGCAGCTGTACCGGCAGTACCTAGAAGTAATTGAACAGACTTTTGTTTGCTTGTGAATAATGCCTTGTTTGGCAACCCGGTATTTTAAAAGCTCTTATTTTTGGTTTTTCAACATTTACAAAAACGACACGGGCTCCAGTTGGGACTAAACATTGGATGCAGCCGTCTCCAAGGATGCCTGCAACGGACGAGATCCGTTGCTACACGATCCTACCATCTTCGGCGGAAGGCCGACCCCGTCAATCGTTATCATCAGTCGGACTGATGAAGGACGCACCGCTGATCCGAAACGGACCAGCCAACTTCATTCAACCGGCACAGCAACAGGGCGCAGTGATGATGGTCTACGGACTCGATAACAACACAGCCCACACCGATATGCTATTCAATCTGTTCTGCCTGTACGGAAATGTTGTCAGGATAAAGTTCGTGAAGACCAAAGGGGGTACCGCCATGATCCAGATGGGATACGCCATCGCAGTCGAACGCAGCATCCAGCACTTGAACACATGCCATTCGGAAATGATGGTAGCAAAAGTCAGATTGCATTTTCCAAGCAGAACTACTTGTCAGAGTCCACTAACCCCTACACCCTGCCGGACAATTCGATCAGCTCAGCTAAAGGACTACAGCGCCTTCACGAACAATCGCTTGCTTTCGTTGAACCAGGCCAGCACAAATCGCATTCTCCACTTCTTCAATTCCCCACCCGGCATGTCCGAGGATCTACTGCTGACTGCATTCACCACCAAGGACTACCACCCGTCGCAAGTGCGAATGTTCCCGCTGGAATCGGAAAGTTCCTCCGGTGGTTTGGTCGAGTTCCCGAGCGTATCCCTGGCGGTGAACGCCATCATGAAGTGCAACCACAGCGCGATCGATCACAAAGGCACAAAATTCCCTTTCATTATGAAGCTGTAGCATGTGTCCAAGACAATGAACGGTGCGTGGAGCAACGAGAACATCGAAAACACGTGAACTTTGAAAGAGCGAAAGCTTCTTTTTCTGAAAAAAGAATAATAATAATAATAATAATTTCTTATTGTGTTAGTTGGAAGTGCAAAAAGGCAGGAGGGTAAAAATAATTGGTTGAACTATTTGTGATTTTGCCAAGACGGTCCTGCAACATTAGGTATATGTTGGACGATGGAATGGTTGGTATAGCAGCCACCACTATGGATGTATTCGAGCAGTTCATATGGTCGGATGAAACAGTTTTTGTTTGCTTGTTGACTTTCCGATTAAAACTCAAGTACCGCTTGTCGTGACCGGACTGAGATTTCCAGCGTCGGCCACGGCTACACGAATTAGCGATGGAACTCCCGCGGCTGCTTCCAATGCTGCTGCTGCTGTTCCTGCTGCTGGTCCGTCTCCTCTCAAGTTCGTCAAAAGAATGTTATAGGAGACGTACCAACAGCAGGAGAATCAATGGCGAGACTTGGTGGAGATTCACGGTTTGTGGCAACATCAATAACAAATTTTGACACATGCATACTGCGCAGGCGCAGACAAGTGTTGCCAGTAACTTTAAAGGTCAGAATTTTTTAACCATGGGTACCAAACAGTGCCAATGACTGTGCCCAGGTGTGCCCAAGCTTGTTTTGGCACTCTGACACTCTGTGACCATCCCGTTGGGGTGAGTTGAACAAGCTCACTTGAGTCGTGTATTTTGGTATTAATATGATTTTTCAGCAAGTAGTTAAATTGATGCATCGTTTGACAAATAACCACTTCATTCGAGCAGTTAAAATGACGTTTACTACCACTCGAACTTTGAAATAAAACATTATTTTGAGATTTTTTCTTCTAGAACCACGAGAAAAGTAGCCAACATTTGTGCGTTTCATAAAAAATCGAAATTAGTTGATCCAGTTTTGTGAAATCGCTGGTAGAAAGTCACGCCAAAAATGCTTGTGGTCAAATGCATAAGGAAGCCTGTCTGGTTCATAACCTTCTGATGAATCGATAGAGCTCAGAGCGTTTTTGACATCTGTGATTGAGGCTGAAAGCATTGGGAAGTCAATTATGTACGATGGTAGGCTGAAATTAGGAGAAAAAGGTGGAACATTTGAAGTACAGTCAAATTTCGCTCGTTGGGCTATGTTTAAGTGGGCTACGTTTTAGTTCGGCTCCCGTTGGTTGGGCTGTAGCCAACCTAAATCGAAGTCAAACGTCATTTCTGACAGTGCTGATTCATTTTCGAGGGGCTCATGTATGAACAATTTGGATAGTTCCTAAAGGATTGTGATGATAATAAACAATCGGTGTATCCCTCAACCAATTTTCAGCTTGACAGCTCAGCCCAACTAACGAAAGCCTTTCACTAAGTGGGCTACGGGTTTAACCCAACGAGTGAAAGATGACGTGCTTCCACACTGCTGCCGTTGTTCACGAAGCCCAAGTTGAGCAGTCTTCCGTTGACGTTATGGATGTCACATATTTGTTGAAGTCCGCCGAAACTAAAATCTCGGTTATCGCAAACTACTGCTCAAATGATGCCGACATCTTCGACGAAAGACAACGACAAGAGGAGAAAGGTTGTAGACACCAAAAATAACATCACATTTGATAGCAATATTGGAAGTCTGTTGCAGAGCCTAGGAATGCCGGATGAAACGTTGAGGTTCGGTATTAGGTCTCAGGTCCACGACATATCGGCAACAAGGTGTTGGATAATACAGCTTCAACCATGGTGTGGTTGATCTTATGAAATGAATCTTTCCCCGGTATTATTTAATGGTAAGCTGCAATTCAATAAAACTTCAAGTCTATGTTGAATCGAGTCGAAAATTTGGATACCAAACATCAAAACTACAGTGACTTATCCAATTTTCAGAACGGAATTAAACCTTAAACCGGTCGATAATCAATAAATTATTTACATTTAATTTAATTTGATTTTTGTGCTACCTGAATTAGTAATGTTTTATTTTCTCACCAGACGATCGAAAGTATTTTCATTTTGTTTGATTTCTGAAACGTTTTTTTCACACCCTATTCTTTTCCTTAATCTCCATTGATTAAAAAGTGTCGAACGTTAAAGAACAAACTAAAAACTCACACTAGTTAGAACAACAAATTCTCTCCAGCCAAAAAAAGAGTGTAAACCAAAATAAAAAAGGTGCGAGAAGGTGTGACCAACAAAACCAAAGCAAAAATAAAACAGAGGAACAAACACGGTGTATATGATCGATAAAAAAGGAGTTGTATCGTAGCTCACGTTGGCCAGACATTGGTTTTCGAGTGAATCCAAACAGAAAAAAAAACAAAACCAAAAAAAGAAAGAAATCTAACCTTAACCAATATAGGCGGTAAGCATTTTCTCCCCAGGAAAACAAAACTAAAAAGCAACAAAAAAAAATGAAGAAGATAGCTTAGAATAAAGATATGCTAAAGAAGAAAAAACACTAATGCAGAAGGAAGAGAGAGTCATTCGAGTAAACTATCATAGCAGATATTAAAAAAAAAAACAAGCAAAAAAAGCATAAAAAAACGAGGCAGTAGATAAAGAGAGGTGAAGAAGAAACAAAACAAAAGTAAATACTTTATTTACTCGGAGGGAGATTAAACAAAAAAAAGTGTATATTTTGTACTATTATTGACTAATTATTAAATTATGCTATGAATTAAAAGAAAAAGAATAAAAAAAGGTGAACGAAAATAGTAAAACAAAAAAAAACAGTAAACAGGCATTTCTCGCATTTCTTCTTGTTTCAATTGCATTGGATTTTCAGTTTCGATCCTCGCGTCGATTCGGTAAGTTCTTCCTCGTTTTCCGCGCTAATCAACTGGTGCAGCAGAACCCAAGCTTTAAGGCGCCTAACTAATTCCGAAATCAATCACAAACTCGTGTCTGTTGTTACAGCTAGTAGGGCGTAACGCGTGTTAATAAGGCTATCGTAGAACGAGGGCAGTGTGTGAAAGTGAGTGAGACAAACAGTGTGTGACCGACAGGCGGTAGAGTAAAATTCAATCTGAGTCATCCATCGTAAATTGCCAACCCAAACCAACTGAACAGTCATCCGACACCAGCTGGCAACACTGTTGGCTGGCATCGTTGGTATCCCTAGGTGTTTTTTTAAGTCTAACCCGAAACACGCAAACACAAACACACACGCATTAACAAGACTGAATTGGTAACACAGAGCAGTCATCAGATGCAGTATCACAACAAGAACGAAAACAAGAAGAACAATACGAATGATCACGCTAGGAAAAGCCATGTGATCGAGTTAAGTTAAAGGTCACGAGCAAACGTTGTAAATATAGATAAATTTAATGAGTAAAAGAGAGAATCATCAGAAGCAGGAAAAGAAAGCATCGCTTGTAAGAAAGGATAAAACGCTAGCAAAAGAACGAACATTTTAAACCGGATCGTACTAATTTCAGTTACCTAGTAGAAACAGAAGAAAAACACAAAGAGGCAAGATGGAAGCGCAGAAGGATGAATGAAAGAGAAAGAAAGAGAGCTATGGCAGTTGGCTTGAAGAGACTTATCGGTAATATTGCAATTAGTTAGTGGCATTTGTCTGATTATTTTTCTTTTCCTATTTTTTAGAGTATCTGAAAACAAAACGATCAAAAAAAGAGAGAGACAGAGAGAGAGAGAAAATCGAGGAGAAATTATGGGAGACAAAGAAATCAGAAATAAATTGTTTCAAAATAATAATGGGTGTTGATAGCGAGTAGAAGAGATATCACCATCCTATCCTTGGGTCTATTCATTGTTAACATCGAGTCACTGGCGTGCGCAGCCCTCTTCATTTGGGGAGGCCCACCTTCCAAAAGGGGGCGCTTCATAGCTTTGAGGGCTCCAATAATTTTGAATGTTTACTTACTTACATTTTCCTTGCTTTCCAGATTTTCACGATTTTCTTTGAACAATTTCGAGGCTTAACGAAAACTGTTGCCACCGCCACAGCACCGGCAACCCGGCCCGCGGCGCTTTCGCTGTTAGTTGGCAGGATCGCCAGGAAAGTCACACCGTTCAGTTCAACCGTTGCGTCTACTGGTCAGACTTCGAAGTAACGTTGGCATGGATCCGCTCTGAACATCGAAGGTACCGACCGTTCGTAGCCTGTCGCGTTGGAGAAATTCTATCAGCGACTAATGTCAAGGATTGGAGGTACGTTCCGAGTAAACTAAACGTTGCTGATGATGCCACTAAATGGGGCGAGGGACCTCGGCTCGAAGAATCTGGCCGCTGGTTCAGAGGTCCACCTTTTCTACTACTGCCCGAAGAAAAATGGCCTAAACAGAAAAAGCTTTTCGATAGTACCGACGAAGATCTTCGAGCATGCTACCTACACCAAGCAGTGCAAATCTTGCACAATCCGATAAATTTCGAACGTTTCTCAAAGTGGAACCGACTTCTAAGGACAACCGCTTACGTGATCCGTTTTGTAAACTTTTTAAAGCGAAAGAAATCCGACGCGAGCAACCGCGGTGCAGGCTTGGCGCAAGAGGAGCTGCAGGCTGCGGAAGTTCTGTTTTGGAAACTCACACAATCGGAGGCTTATTGTGATGAGGTAGTAATACCAACCAGTGGAAACTAACGATTTTAAATTGGCTCACTACTTGACTAGCCTATTGGTCCCAAGCAAATCGGTTAACGTACCCCTTTCTAGTCGAAATTCTAGTACTAAACTATGTTTGTTTTGATTTGCTATGAAAGTTTGACAGATAAAATTAAGGGATTTTCCTATGTTTCGAGGGGTGAATCGATTAGCTTGGGACCGAAGAGAGTACCAGAGCTGAGTCAAAAAGCTGGGCACGTTTCTTCGGGACCTTCTAGTCTTAGAGTTACCTCTATGGTAATACTAACGAAGAGCAAAACGTCGCCTGCGGATGAACGAATAAAGTTGGAGAAGTCAAGCCCCTGTGGAGACTGTCACCAATGATCGATGAACAAGGAGTTCTAC